AACTAGGTGATGGCAGATCTTGCCAACTGCAGTTTCAGCTGTCCATAGCACCCAGAAGCTGCAAAAACACTGAATCATGATAAGAAATCCAACAAAGGAGACCACGGGGTTGGGTTCACAAGCTCAGACAATGAATCTACTTCCAGGCATGATTTCTACTGCTTTTTGATTTTGTTTTGTTTTGCTTTTACTTTTTTGATTGCTATATTCAGAGCTGGGTCCAGAAAGCTCCTCTTGCAATACAAAGGTGCAGAGCACACCTAAATAACACCAGTAACAGAGGAACAGGCACAGAGCAAAAGCTTGGTTATTGGTAGCCAATTCCAGATACATCTTAACTAGTCAATCTCAGAACGTAGTGAAGCAGTGATATTCCACTAACAGAGAAACCACAGCTTGGAGGTTAGAGTCATTTTCCAGGGTGGCACGGCCACCTACTATTCACACTGGGGCTTACAGTTTATCTGGTCTCAGTTCAGCAGGCAAGCCCCAAGGTAAACACGAGAAAGCCTCCTGCCTGCCCTCCCCTCAGGCACTTCCCCACAGCAGGCTCCCATCTTGGTCTTCTCTGGCTCCAGCTTCTTTCTTATTGTCCCTATCTGTGTTTTTTTTTTTTTTTTCATTTCATGGCATCTGCATAAAAATAGCCTCGCTTCTTCACTGGAAATGTGCTTTCTCTTTTATTCAGAGTTGTCCACTAGGAAATCTCTGATCATATGGGACTTGCTGTCAGTTTAATGCCACATGTGACTATGTGTGCATGCATGTGTGTCTAAAGTGATATGCCTCTTTTACAGAAGCTGAAACTTGGAGAAGTCACACAAAAAAGAAGTTAAGGATCCACAAAAATAATTCATGAAACTTTAAAGATGCAATTCCTATCAAATGGGGTATTCCCAAGACATTAGGTATAATCTTTGGTTCACTCCCCACTCCTCCATCCAATGAACATGTAAGACTTCAATCCAAAAGAGACAAATGCAGGACACTATAACTGTGGCAGTTCATTAGAATCTTGGAATTTCTTTAAGGCTTTCCACCAAATACCAGCTGATATAGTCAATAGCTAATATTAATTAGTGCGGAGAAGAGCAGTGACAGACAAAGCAACTGTGATATTCATAAAGGCACGTTCCTTATGAATATTCAAGGCCGTCCTTTAAGAAGAATTAGGCACATGGTGTCTGTCTGAATAAAAAGGCAATCAGCATTTGCAGCAGATTGGAGTGTCCAAATATGGCAGCTGATGTTGACACTAAAGACACATGACAAAAAACAGCATGGCAAATCTCCCTGGTAAAACTCAGAGGCTCTAAAAGGGTACCTGGATTTGGAAATAGATTGAATTTATGTAGGCAGAATTTCCTAGTTTCACAAGAGTGAAAACTCTCAAGCTAGACAATTAATCCTGCTCCCCGACTAATGACCTGCCTAACTGTTGGCAACCACTTGACCCTTCTGTGCCTCAATCTTCTCATTTCTTAAAGTGGGAATAATAGCACCTGATTCAGGATCTCTGTGAGGATTGAATAAATTAATGTAAAAAGTGCTTGAATATTCCCAAGAACATTCTGTTAAGTGTTTTATGTACATTGTTTCAGTTCATTTTTACAACCCTATTTGGCTGATATTCTTATGTCTCAGTTTCCTCATCTGCAAAATGAGAATAAGAAACAACTTCCAAGTCATGGGGTTAGAATTTGAACCTATGTTATAACATATTGCTCCTGGAACTGATGGTTGCTGAGCCTTATTAAGTTGACCTGTTTTTAGCTTGCTCACTAAAGTCAGCTGCAATGTGTGTGTGTGTGTGCACGTGTGTGTGTATTACACAACAATATTTACAACAAATATTTAGCAACACCCACTATTTTCTAGCACAGTTCTAGGTGAATACATCAGTTAACAAAGTAAACAGAGAATCCAGCCGTTGTGGTACTTACATTCTAACAGGAGAAATAATTAACAGATATGAAAAATGAGTAAGTTTATCAGTGATTTATAAACTAATAAGACAATAAGTGAGTAAGTCCGTGGTGATAAGTACAGGAGTTAGGGATTTGGCAGTACAGTTCCCTTTCACAAGATCTCCAAGATCAAAATGGTCCCCATAGTATGTGCCAGCACTGGGCAGTCATTTTAATATTGCAGTGTGGGGATGTCAACTAAACTGCCTGAAGGTAACACCAGACAGGGCATAGAGAAGGCTGCTGATTCCCCTGGCAGAAACCAAGAGACCTGCGATTGGGTGTTGCCTTCGCCAAAAATCTCCTTCCGTTTCCTGCCCTAATTTCTAAGGTTGTTGCCACCTCTGACATTCCATGACCCATTCATAGAGGAAATTCATATTCATCTTCTGAACAACAACAGCAGCTTCTAGCTCAGTTCTTGCTGTGTGCCACAGGTCAAGCAGAATGCTTTATGGTGCAACACACTGCTCTGAGCTCAGACCCTAAGTCAGTGCGGATGGTGCAGTGCTGCTGTCTTATTTGAGTTTCATATCTCGAAACAAGTCATTATCACAAATTAACATCCAAGAGACTTACTATTAAACCTGAATGGAGTGGACTCTGCAAGGAGAAATAACGATCTCGCTGTTCCACTGAGGTGACTTGACTGCCTCCAGGGAGGAACGGCCACACAGCTACACGCTGACTTTCCTCATCTCAGCAGTGTGCACAGGGATTACTCTGCAGTCACACAGACACACACACACACACAGCGGCCCTATTTTCTTTACTGGGGAGAGGTTTAAGGGATTTTTCAACTTCAGTTTTAGCAACAGGCATCATACCTTCATGCTTGGCATTTCATACCAGGTCAGGGGCTACAAACACCTTCACATGCCCCTTAACTTTGACTCAGCAGTCAACCTGAAGAGTCACTACTCTGACTGAGAATCCCCTCTTCTAAGCTGGTCAGTAATGGTGTCCATGAAGACAGCACATCTCCCAAGCTGCACTCTTCTACACGTACACACACACAAATACATATGGATGCCTACCTACACATGCATATTGGTATGACACACACTTTCCTTTAGAGAAATAGTTCTTTACCAATTCCAACTGCCTCCTGCTGTCAGCCAACTTGAGTCCTCACTGCTAAGAGTTAAGGAATCCCAGCATACTGTGAAAGGTGGGGAAACATGCAGAATTGAATATTATAGTGGCATATAATTTAGAATGATCTCATGACTCATTAAGCCTTCAAAACTTAAAGAGATGTTTATTTTAAACCCCATCTAAAAATTAAGCGGTTAACACACCCTTCAACCACTCTTCTTTGTGGGAAGGATGGCACGGCTAATCAGCACACTTAGCTCTCACCTCTGGGGTGAATTAAATCTGTCTTCAGTCATAACAGCCTTAAGTTTAATGGCTTCTAGACAGTCCTTGCAGAGAATGGCTGCGTCATCCCAGAAGGCAGCCCAAGCAGGCAGGGAAGCTTCCCTGGGAATCTGTGGGAAGTGAGTTCATGGGGGAACGTGGGCTGACAGCAAACCTCCTTTGTGGCTTTCTTGACGTTTGCTGCTCCCTGCTTCCCAGCCTTGTGGTCCCCTCGTGATTTGTGTTTCCAATTTTAGCCAGAAAGCTGCCTTGGCAGTTATGGGGGAAAGAATCACTAGGTGGTACAGATAGTGTGGGGAAGCCTCCCTGCGAATTAGCCAACTCTCACAGAGGCAGTCGAGTGCTAGTCTAGAGGACAGAGGTGGGGTCTGTCACTAACTCCTCCCAGTCCTTCTGCATCTGGAAGGCTTGAACTCAGGCAGACAGAACACTGTCCTGTGCATGGAGGGCCTGGATCCAGCCTGAAGGGCTTTGTCTCTTGGAAAAGAAAGTGGCCCTGGAACTGTAAAGTGGACACAGGACAAGGATATGAGTTCATCAAGGTCCAGAACCTCTGGGCCTTGGAGGTTCACAGAGGAAGGGCTGCAGCGTGACTGAGGCCGGTCAGTGTCTCACACTCCTCATCCTCACCACCCTGTAGCTCCCTGTCTCTATCCCCGTCGGTTCTCTCCATAGCCTCCTAACTTGTCCTTGCCATTTTCTCTCTTCACAATGCAGTGTTCCTCCTGAAACCTTATTCTCTTTAGCACTGCTTGGCTAGGAACTTCAGGGTGTCCTCTCTGCTGCCTGGACTAACTCCACACTCCAGAACCCTCTGCAATTCAGGCTTCCTGCGCCACTGAGCTCCTCAGAACAGCCAGCACCAACATCTCTTCCAGTGCCTCAGTTGAAAACACCTGCCCTCTCCTCTCCACACTGCATCACGGTGCCGCTCCAGGCCTGCCTCCTCCACAAAGCCTTCCAGGCCTGCCCATTCCCACCTGCACACATCTCCCTCCTGGGACCTCAACCCTGTGCCTTTCCCTCACTCCTGCCACTTCTGTGGCCTTAGCTCCATTCAGAGATTCTCCTTTATTTCCTTTTTACATTCTATCCCTCTGAAATGAGGATGTTGCTTAACTGCTGCTGCTCTGGCCAGGCTGAGTAGAGACAAAGTTGAGGTTGCCTGCGTTAGGATATCAGTATTGGCAGATACTGCAATCCCAGCAGCGATAGTGGAGCTCATCTTTCAGGAAAGGCTGCATCACTGAAGCATTATCTGGCACCCAGGATGATGTTATGTAGAAAAGCATAGACATCAAAGTTCTTACCAAAAATTA